CGGTTATTAAAACTACCATTTAATTAATAAATGGCAAACCCGAGTTTTCAATAAACGCCTCATTGTTCTTGGTACTTAGCATATTTTAGTGCTAGTAATAAAGTCCAAATGCTATGGGCTTCTGACTAATGTTTCCCGCACCATTTTAAAATAACTCTATATATTTTTTTTTTTTTAAAAATTTGCTAAATATATAAATTGCTACTAACAGTGTTAAATTGCTAATTATAGAAATTTCGAAAAGATTAAATGCGCTCCTAGTGCAATCGCCAATTAAAAACATTAAAATGTGTTTTATTAATTTGATGGTAATGATAGATTGGGCACGTTACCTTGTTTGCGTTTTGGACAGTGAGACATTATTTGGTTTAGATTAATTTGGGCCATTTTCCGTTTCTTTTTCGAAAAAGACATAACCACACACATGGTCGACCAGATTTTGAAAAAATAACTGAAGCCCTAAAAAATATCTTTGTCAATTCCAATCGTCTAAAAAAAGATTACTCCATTAATATTTATTCTATTATGATAAGTACGTTAATACGCGGGTGCGTCTCAAAAGTTTCACCCTATAACTTTTTTATTTTTCAGATAAAAAAACGAGATTTGGTAATGTTAGTAATATGACATAAAATAGAATTGACTGAACTTATTCAATTGTTTTTTCGGTCACTTCCTGTTTCACCGGAAATGACCAAACTTTTGATTTTAAATGGCACCCTCGTTATTGTTTTACTAAAAAATTACACTCTGAAATAGATTGATAAATCATAATACATCTTGTCAAACTTTTGACATTTTCGCTTAAAAACAAAATTTGTAAATTTTAAAATTCAATCTAGAGTGCAGGTCTGTGTAAAAACACTAATTTTGAATCAAGGAGCCTTAGAAAAAATAGATTGATCGTCTAATGTTTTTATTGTGTCTGGCTGGTTAAAAGATGCCCAAATCGTATTTTTAATCATATTTCAATTTTTTCAAATGGAACGAGGGTGACTCATTAGCATATTTGGAAAACCCATTTTTTTACGAATAATTTGATACCACACACTTGGTATTTCGAGTCAAATTGTCGTTATGAATCGCATGTTGCAATTTCAAATAAACCATATTTGAAAATGTCAAAAGTTAATAAACTAACAAAATACCGAGGTTTGGAAAAATTAAAAGTTGTAGTCATTTCCGGTGAAACAGAAAGTAACCGAAAACAATTGAATACGTCAATAAATCCTAATTTATGTCATATACTAACATACCAAATCTCGTTTTTTTATCTGATAAAATAAAAAAGTTATAGGGGTGAGCCACTTTCGAGACGGACCTGGTATGGTTATTCACATACTTGGCATCCTAGCAATATTAATGCTTAAATAAGCATTAATATTAGAGTTGTAAGGAGGAACAAAACAGTAATTTTATTAAGCACAAAAGTAGCTGTGACACATTTCCATGTTTTTATTTACATTTTTTTCTTCAAATTCTCCTATACATCAAATATTTTTATTCACATTTTCATTAATTTCTCTGGTATATTTGGTATTTTTCCTGTTTTGAACGCGTCTTACTTACGCGCCGGCACAGAAATCAATACGAAATTACTTTCCATTGATCCCTTAATGAGCATTAGAAGTGTAGCTGGTTATTTGTAGAGTTTTTTTTTGTACTTTGACGAGATGGAGATAATTACAGCGGGTTTCTTTGCTATTTTCGCATCAACATGGAGTATTTTCAGATGGTAAACATCATTAAATTATTCGGTATATAACCTGGATTGACTGAATAATACACAAACATATTTAAACATTTATTTACTTGTAATAAAAAATAAATAGACAATGGAAGTCCGAAATTCTTTTAGTTTAATTTTAGTGACTATTATATTATCTGTAAAACTTACACAATGCTATAAGTGTCGTTCTTCTGCCTCTCTAATATAAATATATTTTTTTTTGTTTATTTCCAGATGATAAAGCAGAGCCTGAAGACGAGGAAACTGCAAAAAACAAGTCGTCTAATAAAGGTAAGTTAGAAAAATAATTTTAGTGGTGATTCTGTATCAGTAATTAAGAACTATTGGCGTTGTTATGAATTTTTGTTGTTTGTAATAAGTTTTTATTTTTGGTTTGTACATTTCTACAAAATATTGTACAAACTAAGCTGGATATACGTACTTTTAAATCAATTATAATAATAGCAATAATAACGTATATCAGTCTTTTTTTTCTAAAGTAGTATTATTTTTTTGCTTAAAAGCAATAAACTAACAAGATTTAATGTGAGATTGAGGAATTTATGTTCTCTTAACCACAAATATCTACAGGTTATTCATTCAGTATTCTCGGAATTTTGAGATTTATTGTTAGAACTTTGTCTGTATCTGATGCTTTTTTTTGGCAAATTGTCAAACATGTATGTCAAACGCATAAACAAGGTCTGTATATAATTTCGACATAGAAAATGATATACTTTTTATGCACAACTAGGGGAAAACAAGCAGGCTTTAGAAGCGGCTTCAGCACGATTGATCACATACATACACTAAGAGAAACTATCAGCCGAACTATTTCCGGTTGGAAAGGTTGGAAAAGAAAATATAATTTTAAATTAAATGTAATAACTAAACCTGTGACGTCAAACCCCCTTATCTAACTTAATACTAGATACAATCTGGGTGGTTTATACCCATAAATCAAATCTAAAATTATACAAATATCTAAGCAGTCTTACTCTACTCGATGTGATATATTTGAAAACTTCCTCCGGCTGAGCTAAGGCATCTAGCTACAGGGTTGCTACGGCGGTGTACAGCATCTCGGTGTACTGTCACTGGAACTCGTCAGCAAATGTACAGATACCAGGCAGGTGCAGGACTTCAAAAGGTGACATAAAGAACCCTAAATAATATTGGT